AGTTTTATTCCATAAAGTCATTTGTCCTTGATTTAAACTATTATTCTTGGAAATCTTATGGCCCTTATATTTAATTTTTGTTACTTGTTATGGGGAGGGAATAATTCTCTCGTAAATAATCCTGTTGACCAAGTCCATCGCTCCTCCGTAAGACGTCGCTTTCTTCACTTGAAACACAAACGTGAGCTAGCCGCGGCGGGTGTGTGCGAAACCTCTCCGAATGCCTAAGTCAGAAAACTTGACAAATAGACAAGCTTCTAAGTTTCTCAGAAAGATTTGTGTTCAATTACTCCTCAGGTGATGCTTGTGAGCTTTTTATAATTTTCATATGGCACAATCCTAGTAAGGACTTGTTTTTCGCATATACAGTAGTCCTCCTAGGATTCATCTCTTAAGGATAATGCTTATCCTTTTACACGCTCACCGCTTAAACCAAGGTGGGATGGTTTTCTTTAACGGCCAGGAACTTTCCTTTTGATAAATAAAAGCTGGGCTACGAGCACAGAGGGCCGAACTATCTAGCCTGGTCTCGTCTCCAATCTTTACTTGGTGCCTGTTTCAACTTGATGCGCTAGATCAAACTTCCAAGTAACAAGTTGACCGACCTAACAATGTACAGTCACGACCGGAAACTCTGAGATCGGCTAACATGAGTTGCCTCCAGACGGAGTGTTTTTTACTCCATGAGCGAAGTAAAAACCATTTTTTTTTTTTTTTTTTCCTCCAGCGGAGTGCATTGCTTCTATGGGCCGGAGGTGTCTTTTACGGCCTTATCTTACTAGTCTTCGCGTGATTTGGGCCTCAAAGCCCAACTTGCAGCTGGCCCATATTTTTCCAAAAATTACCTCATCAATTGCCCCTTAAATTCCCATTGAATAGCATGATTGTGGGTTACATCCAATGGCGAGCTAGTGTCGTTTTAAGTTTTTTCCAGCCGAGCTAAAATTTTAGATCTCCGAGCCGAGCTAAAGCTCTCTGAGTTTTTAAGCCGAGCTAAATTTTTACTCTGGCATGTTTGTCGCGGTAAAAAACAGTCTCTTCATCTTAATGTCTTGTAACGCTTCTATTCTTATGAACACGTGCATGTTTTGGTTGCTAGGGGTTGTCCAGCCGTCTTTCGTATTGTGAAATTTGAACAGTCCGCCCAAATTTTGGGACTTTCTAAGAGATCAATCCCTGAGGTAGGTCCCTTCACTTTTGCATTTCCTCTTCTCTCTGTGTTTATTGGCTGCTCGTGCTCTTTCTTTTTACTGCGACAGCTTCCCTTAGTCCTTCTTATTTAATTCTGGTAAGCAATCATGTTTCCCTTCATGGTTGTGTGCCTTTTAATTCGTTTTGATGCAACTGTATTATCTAGTTTTCGTATGCTTTTTTGCAAACATTTTCTCCTTATCTGCTCTGATTTTGTACTTTCTATGAGAACCAAAGTAGAACTTTGTATGTGTGATGAACTAGTTTTGTAGGAACTTGAGATCAAATCAACCTAGCAACCGGACTAGAAAACTGTTTGTGTTATGTAGTGAATAGTTCCTGAACATAACGAACTAGAACTCGTAAGGAATATTCGCAGTTTCTTGTTCTGAAACCCAACTCTAGCCCAAGATAAGATCACGACAAGCTTTGCTCATACCGAACTGGTATTTCGGTCCAACCGAGTATAGACTTTGGGCAAGCCGGCTTTTCTAGTTCTGAAACGACTCAGAAGCGCCTAGGGTCAGCGGAGTACTTTCCACTCACATCGCAGACCGATTTAAGGCCTTGGGATACACAGCTTTATTTAGATTTTTGGACCGAACTCAGAAAGCTGCCCCTAGAGTTAAAGCGTTCCTTAAACTGCTCGAACGGCTAGGAACCTTTCTGATGAGCCGAGGTAAAAGAACCAGCGCTAAAACCGAAGTAGATTTGGTATATCTTGCTGATAATATTTTGTAGGCGGCTCCATACGATTCTGTGTTAAAACCTTTGTGTTTTCTACTTTGCAGACTTAGGTTGCCAGCACTCCCGGTGTGCTCACCGAGCTACTGAGCCTAGTTTTGTACCGAATATTTATTCATAAATTATATCCGACATGGGAAGTTAGATAGTTTAGTCGAAACCCTGGTGGCATGGCAGAATTCAGGCAGGACTACAGATTCCTGATGATCGTTCAACTGGAATTGGCCAGAAAGATGCTATCTCTGGGACAATGAAGGCTTCGTCCCTTTACACGCTTCAATCAAATAATTGAAAACCGGGACTACGGTTTTCCTGTCCAAACCGCTTAATAATGCGAATCCCTTAGGCAAGACTAGGCTAATGTCCCACCAACTATCCACAACAACATATCGTATTTATATGGGGAATAGCGCATTAACACCAACGGACTGAAATCTTGGTCTGGCCGAAATTTTCATCAGTATTACATCGGTTCGAAGAATGCTGGGTGGGTATATTACTTTAGAATTCCCGCGCCGGCCGAAGAAGAATAATTAAGCATACCTCCGGACATAGATCTCTAAGATGACGATGTTTCCTTTTGGGTCTCTGGAACTTTGTTAGGATTTTCCAAGCTAAATTCCTGGCCGAGCTATAAATTGAAAATTGGGGAGCCTGGTAATTTTAACTTTCGGTCTTCCGCTTTGTATGTTATCCTCCGGTTTGTTTGCTTAATCTGCTAGCCGAACTAACACTTGTCTCTCTTTTTTTTTTGCAGATTTCGCCCATCTCCACTCCTTGTATAGCTATCCTAACCTCGGCGTTTTGCGAGCCGCATTTCGGGTTAAAGAAAGAGATTGGGCCAAGCTTCTAAATTTCGAACCGACCTACCGTTACAGCGGTCGACGGAAGGCAAAAGTAACCAATTTTCTTCTCGAGGAAGCACCGGAGCCGGACCCCACTTTGCCCGAGATAAGACTTGTTCCATTAACCGCCGAGGAAGAAATGGCAAAGAAGAGCAGAGTCAGGGCCCTTCTAACTTCAATAACTAGAGCCGAAGTAACACCAACTACTGAGGTGCAGCCTGCCGTCGTGGCCCTTCCTTCACAACGGCCCTCTTCGTCTCGCCCTTCAAAACGCGCCCGATCTACGTCAGCCGAACAACAACTTGTTGACGAAGTCGAAACTGTCCCCCAAAGTCCTCAACCTGCCTCCCAACCTGAACAAACTGACCGAGCCCGATCTCCGAAGTGGGCTCCGCCTCTGATCTTCAATGACCGAAACATCAAAGTCACTGATTCGGTCGTTGGTGAAAAAGACCACCAACTGGCCTTTAACCTGGCCAAATGTGTGTGCCTCCCTAAGGACATGGAGCACCACTTGAAGCAACTGAATACCGAAATGAAATCAATTCGGTCTGCTTCCAAGTCCATGATTTTGGTAAGTAGCTCTGTCTGCTTTTTCCTGTCTAAATTTTGCTAACTTTTACTTCGGCTAAGATGAGATTTTTGTTTTGCCAGGCCTTGCAAAATAAGACCACCAACTGGCCTTTAACCTGGCCAAAAGTGTGTGCCTCCCTAAGGACATGGAGCACCACTTGAAGCAACTGAATACCGAAATGAAATCAATTCGGTCTGTTTCCAAGTCCATGGTCTTGGTAAGTAGCTGTCTGCTTTTTCCTGTCTAAATTTTTCTAACTCTTACTTCGGTTCTAAAGATATCTTTGCTTTGCCAGGCCTTGCAAAAGAACAATGTCACTTACCGGAAAGTCCAAGAGCTCCGCAAAACCACCAGGCAGGCGATGGCGGAAGCCGAAGCAAGGTCGGCCGAACTACAACAAGCCAAAAAGAGAATGGCCGAGCTGGAAGCGGAGAACGGCCGTCTTGCCGATCTAGTTAATTCGGCGGAAGCGGAGAAGCAGAAAGCTGCCATTGTTATGAAGGACAAGTATTTACGGGAGTTGTTGAAGCTAGAGAAGAGAAAGGACGCCGAAATGAGCGAACTGAAAAAGAATATGGAGGCGGTCGACAAGGGGGGGTACAAGCGAGGTTTCAAGGAGGCCGAGGAGGCCTACGTCAAGCAATGCGATGCCGCCAAGGAGCTTTTCTTCAAGTGCGGCTGGAGGGCGGCTGTGGAGAAGCTCGGTCATGATCAACAGACCGAGGTCTTCAACCCTCCAGAGTACTTTATACCGAAGTCCCTTGCGGGGTACGCGGATGCCATGCAGCAGCAATTCCTTGAAGGTTCAGATACTGACGAAGATTCTGCTTCTGGGGGTACTCCAGTTGAAAACGTGGATCAGACAGATCGGCCGGAGTCCAGAGTGGAAGATCTGGCTATTGAACAGCCGAATGAAACTGTGGCTCCGGTCGATGCCACCGTTGTGACTGAAGGAGTGCTGCCGCCAGAGACCGGTCTTCCAGTAGATGCCGATGCGGTTTTCGATGCTGAAATTGATGAACTTTTCTCTTAGTTTTTTACTTTTTCTTCTTTGTAACCGAACTAAGCCCCCTTGTAATGACTTCCGTTTGAATAAAAATTTCACTTTTCTTATTCCGGTTATTGTGTGTATGCTTGGGTTTGTAATGTCTTATATTACTCCAAGTGTTATTTCGGTTTTTGGTTGGTTAAACTATACTTACCAGCCAACCACTCCTTAGCCGATATAATTACTTCGGCTGAGGAGTACAGTATTGGTTCATTTCAGCCAACCACTCTTCAGCCATACACTTACTTCGGCTGAAGAGCAACAGGTGTTGGTTTATTCCAGCCAACCACTCTTCAGCCTTGCACTTACCTCGGCTGAAGAGTAACAAGAGTTGGTTTGTTCCAGCCAACCACTCTTCAGCCTAACACTTACTTCGGCTGAAGAGTCCCGGGTGTTGGTTTATTCCAGCCAACCACTCTTCAGCCTTGCACTTACTTCGGCTGAAGAGTTACAGGTGTTGGTTTATTCCAGCCAACCACTCTTCAGCCTAACACTTACTTCGGCTGAAGAGTCACGGGTGTTGGTTTATTCCAGCCAACCACTCTTCAGCCTTGCACTTACTTCGGCTGAAGAGTTACAGGTGTTGGTTTATTCCAGCCAACCACTCTGCCTTGCATTTACTTCGGCTGAAGAGTAACCAGAGTTGGTTTGTTCCAGCCAACCACTCTTCAGCCTAACACTTACTTCGGCTGAAGAGTTACGGGTGTTGGTTTATTCCAGCCAACCACTCTTCAGCCTTGCACTTACTTCGGCTGAAGAGTTACAGGTGTTGGTTTATTCTAGCCAACTATTTGAAGTTAGTTTTTCC